AGGCAGAGAGTCTAATTGAGCTGATTAATACAAGCCATCGGCAGACAGCAAAGCTGAAAGAGCACACTGTAACACACACCCACTTGGGTTTCAGGAATCATAAACACTCACCCCTAGGTGCTGCCATGGGGTTGAAGCCAAAAGCACTCCCCACGACCTCTGGACCTGTCTGTCTGCGTGCTCCCCTAGGGGTTTCAGCAGCCTGACACCGAAGAACTGACCCCTGTGGCATGCCCTGCGAGGGGCATAAGGGAACTCTCCCATTTCAATACTTGAGCTATCTCTATCCCAATTTTCTTATCTATGAAATGAAGGCAACATTACTTGCCTACATAAGGCTTAGGAAATGATTAAATGGAATAGTGTATATAAAATGTCTGTAGCACAGTGGGCATAATAATTCAATTGTTAGCTGTCTAGTGCTTCCCTCATATCCAGAAGCCACCTCCTATTGATTCCTTGAAGACACTGAAAAAATATATCAAAAGGAACAAGCAACCCACCCCACCCTGACTTCTCCAAGTTGTAGCAAAATACATATGATACATTTCTTTGATTAAAAAAAAAAAAAAAAAAATGCCTTGGAAGCAGCAACTAATCATTTACAGGTGAGATCTCAGCACCAAAAAATAAAAACAATCCAATAGGCATTCTGCCTCTCCTTTGTCTTATCCTACCGTTTAAATAGTTATTTCTAACATTTTATTGCCTTTCATAACATTAGGTAGAGTCAGGACATCTGGTTCATTTTACAGATGAGGAAAGTAAGATAGGGAGGGTGGGGTGTCCATTCCAAGGTCACACAGCTATGCAAGGAAGATCTAGAATTGGAAATCAGATTTCTTGGTCCTTAGTTTAGTACTCTCTCCACTTAGTAATAATAATGATAATAATAGATCTGTGCAATTTATTTGAGTCACAAACTCTCTAAAACATTATAGAATTTATTAAAATTTCAGTCAAAAACAGCTGAGATATTTTATTGTCTAATACCTTAGTAGGCAGTGTGGAATAGGAGAAAGAGCTCAGATTTTGAAGTAAGGCAGACTTGGGATTGAATTCTAATTCCACTCTAAAGCATTCCAGAGTTTTAAAAATTTCAATAAAAAATAGCTGATGCGTGCTTGTAGTACCAGCTACTTGAGAGGCTAAAGAGGGAGGATTGCTTGAGCCCAGGAATTCAAGCCCAGCCTGGGCAACAGAGTGAGAACCAATCTCTTTAAAAAGTTGTTTTTAAAGAGCTCATTAATCTTCGGTGTTCATGTCCTGCTTTTATGTATCGTCTTACATATTTAAAGAAGAAAACTAATCTGGAAGCACCCAAAATGGGTACAGTTTGTAAAAGTGATGTTCATTATTTAAGTGTTAACTATAGAGGAAAACAAGCATCAGAAGTATGAGATGATAGTTCATTTCAGAGCAAAAGCTGTGAAAATTGGAAATTTTATATGAATAACTCTACTGTATATGAAATCATAATATAGGAGCAAATTATGCATAAAAGGACACGCATATTCTATAACTTAATTCAAAACATCATACAAAGATAATGAAATCATTCATTTTAGAGAAGTTCTATGATTGTCTGTGAGCTTAAGAGATAAAAGTTGCTGCAAAGTCAAGGATTCTGACTCATAGAAAAAAATCACATAGAAATTAATCTCAGAGAACATCCTAACTCTAAAATGCAACTACCTTACCACCACCAAAAAAAAACAGGTTTGCTTTAAAGAGGTATGAATTTTATAGAAAATAAAGGCTAATAAGAAAACAACAATAAAAATTAAAGCAATAGTGCTATCCATACTGATGATCCAGCAACCATAAGATTCATGTGGGAAAAAAATGCAGTACTCCCCAAATTATTGTTGTATCAAATCAAACTATTTTTGCCCCAAAAAGATTCAAGATCTCATTAGGAAAAAGTGAAGAAAGTGAAACAAATATTCAAAACTTACCTCTTACCTGCAAACTTTCTCCCCTAAAGTATCAGACTTACTCTATATGAATAATGTGTCCAGTTGTAATCAAATTCTGTAATACCACTGAAGACTGTCTCAATGAACAGCTCCTTAGTTTAAATGGATTTTAAAGGATCTTAGAACTAAAGCCTTTCTTTTAAAAACGTAGGAGGAGCTCTTGCTTTATCCATGAAAAATACCAACTGTCATTAGAAAATTTGCATTCAAAACAGGTCAGCATTTAAGGTTACATTTGTCAAAAGATTCAGAGGAAATTACAAAGTTCATCTGAGTGTTTTCTTCCCCCTTTTAATTAGCTCCTGATACAGCATCTTAGTATGCCAGTGTTTTCTTTTTTCTTTTTTTCTTTTTTTTTTGTTTTATTTTGTTTTGTTTTAGCTGTGTGACTCATCACATTGGGAATTAAAAGATAATCCAAAGGTAAGCATTTGATTGCCAGGTTTATGTTGTTTCCTCAAAGTGTACTACCCAAAGGCGTTATTATTTTGAGTTTCAAATACTTTAAGTACAAAAGGAGTCATAAATAGATAAGGAATCCAGAAACCCGGATTCTACTCTAGGCTTTCCCTCCCAGTCAGCTCTGTGACCTTGGGCAATTTCCTTAACCTCTTTGGGCCTCAGTTTCAAAAACTTATTGAATGGGATCTCAGAAGTAATCTGGTCTAACCTCCTATTCCCAAACAAAAATTGCCCCTGTACTTTCCCTAAGCAATTGTCAGTTTCTCATGTGTAAAAGGAGCCAATAGAACTATGTCATTGTCTAAAGCTTCCTTGATTTCTAAAATTCTTGATGTTGTAATAAAAATTCAGTAAGTGTTATGTATATATGTTGTTTCCCATTGGAAATTTATCAAATCATTCTTTACACAACCAAACAGGAGTTTATTTTTGTAAATTCAGGCCACCACCAAATTGTCCCTTATCCTTCAAGTCTCCAAAGAGGTTTTGTCTGCCCCTGGTTTAATCTCCATGTCCAGGAACCACGCAAAGCCATAAGAAGCCAGAATACTTTTGATGCTTTTCTGGAGCAGATGAGATGCCAGTCATTTATTCCCAAAAGGGAATGAATTGAGGCTGTATCCAATCTGTACACCATCCGATAGATACAAATTATCTTCCTTGCTTTGGAACACAGGTTCAGACTTGATAACTTCTCTCAGATTCTAAAGATAGGTTTTACACTAAATATGTGAATAAACAAATAAAAGGCAAGAGTGTGAATGAAGAGTGGGCCACGTGTGCAATCCTCTCTCCACTATTAGCTTTATGTTGTACCCCAAGATGTTTTTTACCCCTAGATGTCTTTCTTTTTTATTCATTTCCATAGCTGATGTTTCTCCCTAAATTAAAGTTAGGAGGGTGGGAAGAAACTGGGAATTGTTTAGGGAGTTTTGTATTTACTTTTCAGATGTCAGCTGATTTGGCTCTCTCACAATAATTTTTAGCAGAAATTATTTATCAGCCCTACAGGAGGAATTTTCTAATCAGAATTTGCTGACCTGACGGTAAGAAAAAGAAGATCTAGATTCAAAATCTTCTTTCTTTTTCCTGAGATTGCATTTTCAATTAACTAATTTGTCTTCTTCTATTTAAAGAAAAAAAAAAACACCTCCAGGAAGTTTTCTTCAAGTTTCCTGTTTCCCCTGAATCCTCTAGCTCTTGCAAATATTTCACTATGCTATAACTTATCTTTCAATGCCACTAGCCCAACTTTGTGATATTCTTATTATATACCATGATATTGGAGTACAATTCAAAGAAATGGAAGCATAATAATATCTTGGAATAATAAAGTACATTTATCTGTAGATATGCAAACCACAAGTTAAATTTAGTTAATCAAATACAGTTAGAAACAATAATGCACCATGCCTCAGTTGTTAAAGTCCATTAGATATTCCCTTCCACCTTGATTTGATAGCTTAATGAGTGAAAGCATAAGGTAAGCTTTGCTTCTTGGTGTGAAAAAAAATACACTAAAAAGATAATTCATTTTAATCTACTAAAAGTCCTATTTGAATGCTTTCTAATGGCATCAATACAAATAAATATATTCTTAGCTTTGAATAAATATATTCTTTGTCATTGATACTTGTATACTTGTACCTTAGCAATCATTAATCTCCGCTCCAGATACAAGGCATGTTTCAAGTCCTAAGAAAAGAAGATTTGGGAGTAAACTTGAATGGTGCAGAGAAAGGAGGATGGGTAAGACTACTTGGGGCAACCCCTCTCTAGCTGCAAGATGGTCTATGCCAAATTGAAGAGAAGGTGTAAACCCAAATTTGATGCAGACGTTGGGTAAGTGTTACCCAACGGGTGTGGAGTGAAAGGTACATCAAAGCCTAAGAATGGGGAAATTTTTCAGGACAGTTGAGATTAAGTCATTGTGTCACAATTAGGTGCAGCTAGAATGGAGCTAGGCTACACAAGGACGTTCCATAGCCTCTCCAGCAGGCATATATACACTACTTTATTTTACCTAGTATCCCCCTCAGACAAGCAAGTGGGTATTATTTTAGTTTTACAAATGACTATTAAGTTACTTTCCAGAAGTCAAAAAATCAGGAGAAATCAAACCTAGGTCACCTAGATTTGACACCTAGGCTTATGCTCTTCCCATAGAGTCATTCCACTGCTGGGATGTTTTGTTTGACACCTCAGTAGCTAAAATGGTCAACTGTCAGAAGTCATTCTGTAAAGCTTTATAATCCCAAGTATTCTGTTAATTATCAAAACAGGAAATGAGTATTCCTAAACTGCTATGCAAATGAGGTAATCGGCAAAGGCAGCATCTAATGTCTCAAGTATTTAATGGCCTTGGTAAGGTTAAAGGGCATTAAATAGGCAAAAACAAGAAAAATAAACAATGCTTTGACATTTAGGTTATATATATATGCACATGTACACACATGGTTTAAACAAAATTCCCTGAATTTGGTAACAGTTTTTAAACATTCATGCAAATGTCACTTCTAAGGTTCTAAAGGCATTTTTAAAAAATCAAACCAGCTCCTGGGCGGCTGGAGAAGCAGCTTCTTCTCTCGAGTGCGACGGCGGCGGCGCCTGCGGACCTAACTAGCTCCAGGACTTGAAAATACTGGAAATCTGTCCGGATCCAAATTCTTTTGCAAGCCAGATGAGTAACCAGACGGCATGAAAGGTTGAGAACATTTGACTTCCCTGAAAACCTTGGTATAGATCACTTCCTTTTCTGTAGGTTGGCACCAAAGAGCACAATGAGTACAAGAAAACGTCGTGGTGGAGCAATAAATTCTAGACAAACCCAGAAGCGAACTCGGGAAGCAACCTCCACCCCCGAGATTTCCTTGGAAGCAGAGCCCATAGAACTCGTGGAAACCGCTGGAGATGAAATTGTGGACCTCACCTGTGAATCTTTAGAGCCCGTGGTTGTTGACTTGACTCACAATGACTCTGTTGTGATTGTTGATGAAAGAAGAAGACCAAGGAGGAATGCTGGGAGGCTGCCCCAGGACCATGCTGACAGCTGCGTGGTGAGCAGTGACGATGAGGAGTTGTCCAGGGACAGAGACGTGTATGTGACTACCCATACTCCCAGAAACACCAGGGATGAGGGCGCTACAGGCCTCAGGCCCTCGGGTACTGTCAGTTGTCCTATCTGCATGGATGGATACTCTGAGATTGTGCAGAATGGACGTCTCATCGTTTCCACAGAGTGTGGCCATGTCTTCTGTAGCCAGTGCCTCCGCGATTCCCTGAAGAATGCTAATACTTGCCCAACTTGTAGGAAAAAGATCAACCACAAACGGTACCACCCCATTTATATATGAAGTATTCAGAGTCGCCCAGGAGAGACGGATGGACAGACAGACAGACAGGTTCTCCAGTGGTATCTGCCTCCATTTTCCTGAGCTCAAAAAGACTGTTTCGAAACCAATGTCTGATATGTAAACTGCTCTTTTGTTTCCAACCCCTTCTTTTTGTTATCTCCAGTTTGATGCTATGGCGCTGGACCCAGGGCCCTCCCAGGCCATCTCTGTTCCTCTGGGGTGGTCCAGTTCTAGAGTGGGAGAAAGGGAGTCAGGCACATTGGGAATCGTGGTTCTAGTCTGGTTGCAGAACCTGCACATTTGCCAATAAATTTTCCTTGTTTGGAAAGTTTGCCCCAGCTTTCCCAGGCACACCACCTTTTGTTCCAAGTGTCTGCCGGTCGACCAATCTGCCTGCCACACATTGACAAGCCAGACCCAGTTCACCCAGCTCGAAGATCCCAGGTGCAAGAGTGGCCCCTTGAGGTCCTGGAAAGACCAATCACTGGACTTCTTCCCTTGAGAGTCAGAGGTCACCCGTGATTCTGCTTGCACCTTACCATTGATCTGCAGTGATTTCTGCAAATCAGGAGAAACTGCAGGGCAATCCCCTGTTTCCTAAGAACAAAAAAGTGCAATAAAGGCCATTCGTTACCTACTTTTTAACAGCCCACAAGATGTAGCACTATTAGCGTCCCCCTCAGAGGCCTAATGTTGCCTGGGGAGCAGTGCCCATCCCAGCCCGTTTCTGCCCGCCAGTTGTTCTCAGGAACCTTACCATGCTCCAGTGTCCTTCACCTGGCACAGGACATGCAAGATAAATAGGGCAGGCACGTGTTTGGGTGTCCTCTCTTTTCTGATAAAATCCATCCTCTGTTTGCCACACGTCCTCCAGTTCCTCAGTTCCCACTGCCTAATGTCTGCCCCCGCATAGATGCTGAGAGGTGGTGGCAGTAATTGTGGCCTTATCAGCCGCTCAGTTCCAGGCTTTTGCCCAAGTCACTGTTGCCCCATGTTTCGGAGAACCAGGCCCACCTGACTTGGCTTTCTCATCCTTCCCAACCCAGTGCCACTTGTTTCAGAAGCTACTCCTCTGGCCAGCTGGGCTTGGATCCTTTGGGCTTTGACTGCTCCATAGGTTTTGATGGGTGAAACACGGGCCCAGATGACAACCTCTCCCTCACTCCACAGGTATGTGGGAGCCTCAGGTTCTCTGAAGGGCAGCAAAGTGGCCCCCGCTGCCCCTGACAGCACAGGGCCTGGGGGTGGCTAACAGGAGAGGCCTTACAGTGCCAGCCTGCCTCCTCTTCCGCTGTCCTCCTCCCTCAGAGGGCTGCAAGCCAAACAAACGGCCTTTTCGTGTGAAACATCTTCAGAGTGGGAAAGGGGCCACTTCTGGCTTTGTTAGCAATAACTGACCTTCAGGTTACCCTTCTGAAGGAGCAGGGATTCAGCACAGAATTCACTTTAGATGGGGCTGAAGGAGTGTCCCTCCTCTATGTGAAAAGAAAATTGTTTTATTCTTCATTCTGACTTTTTAACTGTTTGGCTCACTTCCAGTTAGTTTGAATGAAAATAATAATTTTCTTTTTTTTTTTCTTTTTTTAAATTTATTTATTATTATTATACTTTAAGTTCTAGGGTACATGTGCATAACGTGCAGGTTTGTTACATATGTATACTTGTGCCATGTTGCTGTGCTGCACCCATCAACTCGTCATTTACATCAGGTATAACTCCCAATGCAATCCCTCCCCCCTCCCCCCTCCCCATGATAGGCCCCGGTGTGTGATGTTCCCCTTCCCGAGTCCAAGTGATCTCATTGTTCAGTTCCCACCTATGAGTGAGAACATGCGGCGTTTGGTTTTCTGTTCTTGTGATAGTTTGCTAAGAATGATGGTTTCCAGCTGCATCCATGTCCCTACAAAGGACACAAACTCATCCTTTTTTACAGAATCCTCAACTCTCATATTGTGATGTGTAGCGTGTCTGCCCTCTGACTGAACATCATTGCCATTAACTTTCTTCTGGGCATCATGCGAGTGTCATGATGCCCAGACTTGGAGCAAGGCAACCTTGGAGTCAGTCCACTAATAAAATATGGTACCACCCATTTTAAAATTTCTTTAAGTTTTATCCTTAAAGACAACTTCAGTGGTTAATTATAAAAGTTGTGTTACTTCGTCCTAAATTAAATTGATAAAAAGATTTAAAAATGTGTTTTTTTTCTACTATTCAGAAACTGTGAACTAGGGAAAGGTTGGTATGAAAAAAAAGTCTTTCCTTTTTTCAATGTACATAGTTCAACTCTTTCTTTGTTACATTTAAACTATATCCATGGATATCAGTCTGCTTTGGACTCCTCTGCTAGTGTTAAAGATGGAAATAAAACCATTAATTTGAACCAAAAAAAAAAAAAAATCAAACCATGCCCATGAGACTGACTTGAAAAGTTATTTGATAAAGTTGGCATATTGCATAGAACATTGGTCTCCTATAAAGAACACACTCTGTGAGATAGAAGGCATCAAGATTGCCTGCTTTCCCCCAAATCCAGTTAGTTTGATAAAACTAATTTATGAACTCTGAATTCACCCTCTAGACTACCACAGATTCAACAGTAGGAAGCCAGACCTGAGATTCTCAGGAAACCCACAAGATTTGGAAAATACAATTAGCAACATCAGGGTCTAGTCCCTAGAAACTTACTGTAATTAACAATTAACACCAGTCATGAACAGAGACCACAGAGGTTAGCTGTGCCAGACTGTTTGCCATTCACTCATTCAAGAGTTACAGAGCAATAATGTGCCAAGCATTGTAGCTCACATTCTAGTTAGAGGGATAGAAACCAGAAACTATGAAATATTTATGGTACAGTGTGAGAAGAACAGTACACTATGATAGAGGTCATTGGCAGCAAAGGGAGCTCAGAGGAGAGAAAAACAAACTCTACTTGTGTTATCAAAAGGGTAAGTATCTTCAAGCAGAGATGGTTTGGAGAACCACCCTGGCTCCTGATAATACCAAGTTGTAGAATAATAAAATGTATATTTGACATTTGTCCCGGGTTATCTGAACAGAGTGCCTAAAACCCTTGGAATTTCCTGAGTAATAGGAATGTCTTCTATTATTCATAATGAACACCTTTCAACCACACCTGAATTTATGCTAATGAAGTGACTCTTGGAGGATAGGGGCTAGTGGCCAGAGGAACCAACCACTCAATTAGAGGGTTTGAACTTTTAGCCCCACCCCTGACCTCCAGGGATGGTAGAGGTTTCAGAGATTGAATCAATCACCAATGGCCAGTGATTTGATCCATTGTGCCTACATAATGGAACCTCCACTTAAAAAAAAAACAAACCTAAACCAAAGGGTTCCAAGAGCTTCCACACTGAGGTGCTGGGAGGGCGGCATGTCTGAAGAGGGCATGGAAAGTCCACAACTCCCTACCCCATACCTTACCCTAGGAAGTTCTTCCATTTGACTTTTTTGAATTGTATTTTTTTATAATCAATTGATAATAGTAGTGTTTTCCTGAGTTCCGTGAATCATTCTATCAAATTATTGAAACTGAAGAGCCAGTTAGTCTGAAGTGTTGGGACTTGCTACTGGCATCCGAAGTGGGGCAGTCTTGTGGGACTGAGCCCTTAACCTGCCATGTCTGTGCTAACTACAGATAGTGTCATAATTGAATTGAATTGTTGGATGCCCAGTTGCTGTCAGAGAATCAGAGATTTAGAGAATTGGTTGGTATCAGAAAATACCCCAGACAAGTCAACCTTCTGTGAAAATAAATAAAATTTAAAAGCTATGGAATCCCCAAAAACACTTTAAGCTTTGAGAGAAATGTAACTGTGATTCAGGTCACAGATGGATACAACTTCGGTTCTCAGGTTATACGTTGACTCACTTTCTTATTTTTCTTGTTCTGTACAATTACTAGAGAGAATTAAACAATGTCAGGGACAAAAATCTCCTGCCTTCTTAATGAATGACTCTTGTTATAGATTAACTTCCTCTCTGGTGTCCTGCTTTGCTCAAACTAGATGGCAGAAAACCCATGATGATTATACTCTCTGTAAAAAATGTTAAATATATCCTTTCCAAAAAGAAACACTGACTATAACCAATCAAGTTGCTATAACTAAGCACCAGCCTTGTATGAATAATGCTGTAATCCTGCTAAAAACTCCTCTGTCTCTGCCTGTATAAATAAAACCTTACCTTCCCTACTTCAGAATGCTGACTCCATTCCCTTGGTGTTGGAGTTTCTGAGGTCTATCCTCACACATTGCACTTAAATAAACTCTCTTTCAATTAGATTTTTACCTTTTTGATTGTTTGAGGTTGACAATTCTTTATAACACTTTCTTTATCAAACTCACAGAGCCTACCTTTTTGTAAAAGCCTAGGTCTTTTAGGAAGCTAATCAAGATAAAATTGTTGATGAACTCTGGCAGAGACTAATTATTTCCCAGTGTCAATTCTACTATTTTTCCTTTTATTATAGTGATAGAAACTCATGAGTTTTAGCTGTGTACATGGCCTCCAGTCTAGAGACTACATTTTCCAGACTCCTTTGCTGCTTGGTATGAAAATATGACTGAAATTCAGATAATGAGATGCAAGAAGTGATGTGTGCAAACTTTGAGTCATGTTTTAACAAGAAAATCATTTCTCCTCTTCTTTCTCTCCCCCTAGCAGGCTGTAGCCCAGATGTAATAGTGGAAGCCATATTTAACCACATTGACAATGTCAACATGCACTAGGAAGTGGCAAAGAAATCAGGTAGAAGGACCCTAGGCCTTGAGTGATCTCCTGCGGCAGTGCTGTCTTCCCATCTTTTTGTCTTTTGCTTGAGCTGTCATATTTTTAAGTTTCTTGATTATAGCAGTTTGCCCTGTAGCCTAATTAATACGGAAACAAATATCCATTAAAGTACTAATTGACATTACTTACTCTTCCAAAAGATATTTGCTCATGGAATCCAAAAATCAAAGAATGTACAAAATCCAAAGGGAAAATATGCTAATGGTGTTTCAAATCCAGTGATGGGCTGGAAATTTTTGTGTCTTGGTTTGTTTTTACTTCCCTTTAAATCCTAGCATAACAGCAGTTCCCTACTCTGCCACTCCATTAGGTTCAGTCCTGACTAATGCTTCACATGTCTGTTTCTGACCTTAGCATGTGATTTCCTTAGGGGCAAGAAGTGTGCCTTACTTACCTCTGTAAATCCATTTTCTAGAATATAGCATGCATTCAATAAATATTTATTAAATGTAACCATATTTCCTCCTTTATTTTTTAAAACTTCCTCCACATATAATTTATTCGAATAATGCAAATAACCAAATGACGAAGATAATAATGACAGTAGATATTGCTGATTTAAACTGCATGTCAGGCAGTATGTTCAATGACTACTCATGTTCTTTAGTCCTCACAATAACTCCATGATATAGAAACTACTATTGGCATTTCCATTTTACAGAAGAGGAAACTAAGGCTCCAAAAAGTTAAATCATTTTCCCAAGGTTTTACTTTTAGAAAGTGGCTGAAATGGGCATTTGAATCCAAGACTGCTTGACATCAAGACATTTTCTTAGCTA